TTTTTTTTTTTTTTTTTTGTCTTCTTGACTTCTTTTTGAGACAGGGTCTCACTATGCAGTTCAGGCTGGCCTTGAACTCACTTTGTAGCCCAGGCTGGTCTCGAACTCGCAACGATCCTCCTGCCTCAGCCTCTCCAGTGCTGGAATTACAGGTGTGCGCCACCACGCCCGGTTCCTTATGTGTACATCCTTGTACACGTGTATTTTATGTAGGGCTTTAAAAATAATTTAAAAAGCAAATACCCTACAAATACCACAAAGGTAACTCACAGAATTGGTGAAGCTATTTGACACACACAGAATCAAAAGACTAGGGAAAAAACCCCCAAAGATAAGAAGATACGTACAACTGCTACACATCAGGGACAGAGACAGACAGATAATGCAGTAAAAAACATGACAGGTAGGTGCGTCACCGAGAAGAAAACTCAAGGCTCACGTACAAAGAAGAAGACACCTCGACTCCTTCGAGGTAAGGACAACACAAAGCAGAATCACAAGGTGGCACCCTCACATCATTATTCAACTTAGAAAAAGTGAACTGGCCTGGTGGGGTGAGGCCGCAGCGCAGTGGAAGTACACCCCACTGTGGAAGTGTAACAGCTCTCGCGACCTTGGAAAACCGCACTGCCTAGAGGAGTGGGAGATTTCATCTCCCAGGACCCACAGTTCCCTCCAGACAGACCCGCAGCAGCTGCTCCCGAAATGCTTGATTTCAGGACGTTTTTATACTCTGAGAAATCCTGAAGATCCCAAAGAGTTGGATGATGCGGGATGGACTCATTCCTTCATTCATTTAGAGATGCAGGTCTTGCCAGAGTGCCCAGGCTGGCCCCGAATACCTGGGCTCAAGCAATTCTCTTGCCTCTGCCTCCTGAGTAGCTGGGACTGCATGACCCACTGTGCCTAGTTCCTATGTGAGTTTTATTACTGATATTTATTAGCTGTCTTAGAAATCGAAAAGCAAAACTGTACATGTTAATATAAATGACGCATTTTTAAAGAAAAATACTGGGCTGGGATGGAGCTCAGTGGTAAAGCACATGCCTAGCATGTGTGACACCCTATGTTCGATCCCCAGCACTACAAACAAAACAAAACAAAACACTCCAATATTTTCCACAATCAAAAATCTTTAGTATGAAAAAAAAATCTTTAGTATGAATAGTATTGCTTTACATTTATCATATCATGTGAGAATCAGTTTTTTTTTTTTATTTTTTTTTTATACTGGAAATCAACTCAGGACCTTGCGCTCACTAGGCAGGTGCTGTGCTGCTGAGCTACATCCCCCTGGCCCTGCTTTGCGTGTACTTTATCTACTTTTTCCCTACTGGGTTATCTGCCCTTTTCAAGTTCTTGATTTGTAGCCGTTAATTGTATGTTCTCATCTTTGTTTTTTTCCCTAGGTTTTGTTTATGTGTATGACGCATATCTTCACTGATTCTGTGGACTATCTTTGCACTATTTTAATTTTATTTATTATTATTATTACTATTATTATTATTATTATTATTGTTGAGATATACTCTTGGTATTAGTTCAGGCTGGCCTTGAATTCACTATGTAGCCCTGGCTGGTCTTGAACTCACAGCCATCCTCCTGCCTCAGCCTCCTGAGTGCTGGGATTACAGGTATGCACCACCCTATCTGGCTGCACTTATTTTTATCGTACCCACTTTAAAATCATTTATTGACACAGACCACAGCTTTAGAAGGTGTACACATTTCTTTCATGTCCAGTTTCATGGTGAAGGTAGGTGGGGTCTCACATTTCACCTGGGACCTCCGTTAGTATTTCAGTGTTGCTGTCGAGACAAGATCTCACTACGCAGCTCAGGAGGACTTGAACTCAGCATGTGGCCCAAGAACTTGTGGCGATCATTACTGTCTGACACACTGCCCTGTGTTTTGATTCCCCAGTACGATGCAGAGCAGAGGAGCCTGTTTCTTTGGCCACTTCAGTCCCCTTAGTCCTAGCATCCACAATAGGATTTGCTCACAAGAGGCATTTAGGAGTACACTGCCTCTGGGTGGAGGACGCAATGCTACAGGATGACTTCTCTGAGAGCCTGGGCCAGGGCAAGTGAGGAAAGGGGCTTGCATCTCTGTCCCCTCAACACCACTGGTTATTTTAAGTGTGAAAATGTTGACAATTTGATGGGAGAGAAAATGTTAAATTTTCATTTCTCTGAATACTAATAAAGTTTACTTTGTTTTTTTTGGGGGGGTGTCTTTTTGAGACAGGGTCTCGCTATGCAGTTCAGGCTGGCCTTGAGCTCACTATGTAGCCCAGGCTGGCCTTCAAATTGCAAGGATCCTCCTACCTCAGCCTCCTGAGTGCTGGGATGACAGGCGTGCGCCACCACGCTAGGCAAGGTTTACTTTTTAAAAATGTTCGTAAAGTCATTTGAATCTCTTCTCAGAATCTTGTGCTGATCTTGATTAGAAGGAACTCTCTAGCAATTCAAGGTACCAATATGCTTCTATTTGTTAAAAATGCTTCCTTGGCTGATTTTAAAATTTAAAATATTTTCTTGAGGGCTAATATTTAAATTTAAAATATTTTCTTGATGCTCAACTTGATTGGTTTAAGAGCTGCCTGGAGGTGGGTGTGGTGGTGTACACCTGTAATCCCAGTACTCTGGGAGGCTGAGGCAGGAGGATCACAAGTTTGAGTCTAGCCTGGGAAATTTAGAGATTTAGTAAGATCCTATTTCTGAGAGAGAGAGAGAGAGAGAGACAGAGAGAGAGAGAGAGAGACAGAGAGAGACAGAGAGAGACAGAGAGAGACAGAGAGATAGAGAGAGGTGTGCCTAGAAAGGTGAACAGACTGTGAAGATGTTAATAACTGAAAGGACCATTAGGAAGTAGGGCCAAGCTGGAAGGCATAGGCTGGTGTGGATGGGGTGCCTTGAGGGGTCTGTCTTTCCTTGGGCTCTGTTTCCCGCTCTGTCTGCTTCCGGGCTGCCATGAATTGAGCAGCTTTCCTCTACCTGGCCCTTGCCACAGGCCGACAGCAACGGAGCCAGCCGACCATGGACTGACACCTTGGAAACCGTGAGCCTAAATGCGCCTCACCTCCTCCACACTGACTGACATCCGGTCACAGTGATGGTGAGCGAACATTGTTCACGTAAATGTAGACCTTATAGTCAGATTATGAAGACTGCCCTGTAAGTGCTTTGAGTCCTCCCCCACTTTAAGATCAGTAATGTTCTCTCAGTTAAAGTTTTTTCTCCTTCCTTTTCATTGTTTTACATTTGAGTACATACTTGTAATTCATTTTGGAAGAAGATAATTTTCTCTTTCTTTTCTTTCTTTTTCTGCCTTTCCCCCTCCCTCCCTGCCCTTCCCTCATTCTTTCCACCTTCCTTGTCTCCCCTTCCCTTTTCTTTTCCCCTCTCCCTCCCTTTGTTTTTGATGGACTCTTGTTATTTGTCCAGGCAGGCTGGTTCTGAACTCCTGAACGCAAACAATTCTCTGCTTCCACTTCCCAAGTCATGAGACCACTGGCATGTGCCACTGCACTTGGTTTAGATTATTCATTTTTCCATCAGGAATACTTAAGAATAAAATATTTTTTAGGCAAAGCACTGTCAAGTCAAAGCACATGTACATCAGCAGAGGAAATGGAAAATAGTTTCTCCTCCCCGGCTCTACTGGATCCTGCTGCTGCTCACATGAAGGCAGCGTGGGGCCCTCCCACGTACCTGCAGCACGTCGGCCGGCTTGTTGATGTGCTCCTTGAAGACCAGGATGGTGGACACGTACACGTTGATGTTGAACTTCCTCGTCATCTCCTCCGCCCCTCTTACCCCGACATACACGTAGCCGAACGACAGGTAATCTTTGTACGCAAACGCAGTCAACTGTGAGGGCAGAACAGAGAAGAGAGTGACGTGGACAGCACGGCTCCTAAATGACAAACCCAGGGACCTGCTCCCTGAGCTTAGTCAGCTCCATCTTTGGTCATCTCTACACTTCTGGGAATTCTATGGCGGTCCCTGCACAAAAACTGTACCAACAAAGGCAAACACAGCTAATTCTCTTTATCAAAGGTAAAATAATCATCTCACTAAGATTGGTCCTGGGTGTGAGGCATGGACTGTTTGGGGAATTATGCCAGATGGTCGTGACTGTGCCAGTGGCCGGGACCTTTCCCTCCCAATGTCAGGTGCCAGCGACGGTAACAGGCGTGCGGGGCCTGCAGCGCAGGGGTCGTCAGCAGGGCAGGTGCCGAGGCGGAAGGGCCTCAGGGCCACCGCATGATCGCTGTGCTGGGTGGGACTTTGGGTTATGCAACCCCCTAGGCCTTTGCATCCCAGTCTATGAAATACGGGCGGCATCCCTGGCACCGGGTTCCTCCGAAGCCTCACAGCACTGTGGATGTGGACAGCGTTAGCACAGCAGCAGCAAGTGCTCAGCGGGAGGTGGCGGAGAAAAACGTCAGGCTTCCAAACACTTCTCACGTGGGCAACAGTTATGGGCTGAGCATCCCTCACTCAAAATGCTTGGGACGGGAAGTCGTTTAGATTTTATTTCGGTTCTGGGGCATCAGCGTACGAGACGTATAGTCAGAGGTCCCGAGGATGCAAGGAAGTCCAAACACAGAGCTCACCTGCTTCATACACACTTCGAGCACAGCCTGATGTGATTTGAACAAGTGCCTGCACTTCCCTGAGGCCCATCACATGTGGCCTGACGTGGAATCTCTCTCTCTCTTTCACGCTGGTGCTCAAAAAGTTTCAGACTTTGGAACATTTCAGATTTTGGATGCACAGATCAGGGATGCTGTACCTGTACTTCCCATAAGCACAAGCAAGCTACTATTTGCACCCCAGAGATTACTTTCCACCCCCAGAGTGTGAGCACCCTGTCAGCACACGGGTACCTTGTAGAGCAGCGGCACAGAGGGTCCCTGGTCAAAGAGAAGGACGCGAGGCTTATTCTCTTGCTGCCAGCCAGAGAGGAATCGGACGTAGTTTTTATTTGTAACCTTAAATTGAAAACAGAATGTTAGATTCAATAGTTAATTCTTTACAACTGTATTATACTCCAGTCAGGAAATAAATCAAATATGTGGAAACAATTATTTGCGAAAAATTTAAAAATACAAATTGGGTGTAGTGGTGCATGCCTGTAATCCCAGCACTCTGGTGGCTGAGGCAGGAGGATCACTTTGAGTTTGAGGCCTGGGCTACATAGTAGTTCAAGGCCAACCTGAACTACACAGTGAGATCCTGTCTCAAAAAATGAAAAACAAAAAATAAAAACAACCCCCTCCAAAGACAACTAATTCTTTTGACCGAAGCTATTAAAAGTATAAATAAAGAGCAAAATAAAAAGATAAGATATTAGGAAACAGGGAGATAGATCTTTTGCAAATGGGAAGGGGATCAAGAGATGGAGGGAGGGGGAAAGAGGGCATGGGAAGGGGAATAAAATAAAAAATTAAGATGTGTTATATACATGTATCACCTCTCTATGACAAGTGTAATTGTTATGTGCTGATAAAAAGTGTAAAAGAGAATGGAAAGAGAGTTGATATTTTCATTTGCTTAAACTCTTATAGACTGAAATAATTCTGCTTAAACAATTACCCTATTACAAAAGTTGAGCTTTTAAACCAGGTGTGGTGGTGCACGCCTGTAATCCCAGCACTTGGGAGACTGAGGCAGGAGGATCGTTGTGAGTTTGAGACCAGCCTGGGCTGCAAACTGAGCTGAAGGCCAGCCTGAACTGCACAGCGAAACTCTGTCTCAAAAAGATTAAACAGAACAAAACAAAACAAAAAAACAAAAGTTGAGCTTTTAAAGTTGGTTCTTGCTACTTACAGAATGCACCTTGAGTGTGTACGCACACTCACTCTAGCACCGGGCCTGCAGAGCACACTTCTTCATTTCCTAACCTACAGCCCAGCACACTTGCCCTTTCTCCTTGGTCCAGTGCTGGAGACTGAGCCCAGGTCCGGCCCATGACACCACCTGACTGGTGAGCCACGCTGCCAGCCTGACACTGGCATTTTTAAATGGTGCACAGAAAAATAAAGTGGCCTATCCCACCTGTACATTATAAACTTTCATTCATTACCATCTAGATTGTTACTTTTCACCTCTTAAAATATCCCAGAATTGAAAACATCATACCACAGTGATATATGTGCACCCATGTTTATAGCAGCACAATTTGTCATAGCTAAATACTGGAAACAACCCAAATGCCCATCCACTGAGGAATGGATACAAAAGGTGTGGTATTTTTATACAATGGACTACTACTCAGCTATAAAGAAAAGTGAACTTGAGGCTTTTATAGGTAAATGGATGCAACTGGAGACCATACTCGTAAGTGAAATAAATCAGACTCACATGTGTAAACATCATATTGTCTCCCTAGTGTAAGAAACTGAAAGAGTAAATAAGATCCAAAAGGTACAATAGATATTGTGATAGGGAAAGAAACTGCTCAAAAGGAAAGAACAAAGGGGATGTGGGAAAGGAGAAAAGAAGGAAGGGAAATATAAATGTATACACATACACACATGATAGCAAAGATAACTGTACTACTAATTTCTATTACTTCACTGAAAGAGACCATTAGTGCTTATATTGTTGGATCAATTTTGCATCCCTATATCTTGTAATCTGAGCAACTACTTTGAAGATAACAATATGCAATATAATAACCATTGCTAATTTCCTATCATCTTCTTTTGAAATTCTATATGGTTTTTATTGTTTTTTTATTCTCTTTAAAATAAAAAAAAAATATTCCTGAGAGTACAAATTAAAAACATCAGCTAGAAACTTTTCATCGCAGTTTAACAAAGTTTCTCTCTATACCGCATCTGGAAGGATGTATAAAAAGTCCAAATCTGCTTCACTCGGCTGCTCTGACTCCTCTAATGGTGCGTCACCAGCAGGCCAAGCCCCAGTTCTTTACTGGTCCCGGAGGTGCTCTGAGGCCCCACCAGGGAGAGCTCCAACCTCAGCATGTCCTGCTCACCAGCGACTTCCGCACAGGAGCGGGAGCTCCGCTGGCCTGCAGCACACACCTTCCTTTTCTCTCCTCACCCAGAGAAGCAGTACGCGGCTCATTTCTGCCAGGACGCCTCCAGGCTCCAAGGCACTGGATGGAAATAACTACCCAGCAGCCTGGAAGCTGCTTGCAGAGTTCTTCAAGCGGAGGTGTTTTGCAAAGGCTAGAGGACCTTTTCAGCTAGCTCCCTCCTGCCTCAGCTTCCTGAGTACTGGGATTACAGGCGTGTGCCACCATGCCCGGCTTAGCTCCAACATTTCTTATGTGAATAATGATCTTGACAGGACAGGCTATGAATAGTACATGTGAAGATATGATGGACAATTCTGTATGTTCACTCTTTTTGGTTGCTTTGCTTTGTGAGACTGGGTCTTGCTAAGTAGCGGGTTGATCTTTAACTTGCAATCTTCCTGCCTCAGCCTCTACAGTGTTGGTATTAGAAGTGCACACCCCCATATCCAGATCTTTTTCTCGCTATGTTAAAAGGGTGAATTTAAAGTAAAGTAAGACCCCTTTCCTAGTAACTTTGATACCGACTCTGAGGTAGTTGAAAAAAAAGTGCTTTAAAAAGAAAAAAACTCTATTTGGCTTCTTTTGTCCAAACTTTTCTTAGTATATGTGCTGCCGAAGTGAGCACTGTTCAAGCTTTTCTTTGTAAAATTTACCCATATTGTTGTATCACTGTAAGTTTTTAAAGTTCCAAAAATAATATCTGATTTCATAGAATATAGTGTTTTCTACAGATATGATAATGGAATATCCAAATATAATTTAATTGGAATATTTTCAAATTCATAAGACAAATACCTTTACATAAGCAAATTAATGAACCAGAATAAATCTCTTATCTTCTGTTATGATCTAACTTTTGTTGTTGTTTAGAAAACGATCACTGCAACTTTAGGCTCAGATTCCAAGGACAGGGTAAAATCTGACAGATGATTATTACTATTATTATTTTTTTGGTACCAGGAATCGAACTCATAACCTTGAGTTTGCCAGGCAGGCGCTTGTGCCACTGAGCTGTATCCCCGGCCCTAACATGATTATTAACGAGCATCAACCCTTCTGGTCTCTGCACTTTACCTGTCTCAACGCTCAGCTCCTAGACTTCAATTAAACCACCTGGTCTGAGTGGATAATTTACGCGTGCCAGGCCCGCGGGTCACAGACAGTCCTCGCAGTCAGCGTCCAGGCTCCTTCCCCGCCATGTCCCAGCCACGCTGTCCTGCGGCCACTCACTTACCTTCTCCACCAAGTTCCCGGGAAGCAGGCTTTCCACAAACTGCCGCAGGTTCTCGCGGACCACCGCGTTGTGGAAGAAGGACACCTTGCCGTTTACGATGCCCAGGATGGAGGGTGTGCTGTGCGCCCCCAGGTGGTGGGCCAGGCGCCGCTCATACCCTGCGTGGACCACGCCGATGCCCACACCTGAAAGGGATCCAAGAGCTGCGTGAGGGCCCCTGGGAGTCTGAAACGCTGGGAAGTGCTTTCTCGGTGTTCGTGTGAAATTAAAATTCAATTCACAGGAGAGAGTCTCTTTCAACAGACTTGCTAAATTGCCCAGTCTAGCCTTGAATCTGCAATCCTACCTCAGCCGCTCCGGTGTGTCCCACCCGCAGGCCGGTCTTTCTTTTCTTGCTACATAGTGCAGGCTAGCCCGGAACTTAAGGCCATCCTCCTGACTCAGCCTCCCAAGAGCTGAGATTCCACTCATGAACAACGCCCGTCTCAGACAGCCTATTTTTAACACAGTGGTCAGATGGTTCTTTCTAAAACGTGAAAATAAACTCATCCCTTCTCTCCCCAAACCCTGCAGAGACTTGATCATTTCACTTGGAATAAAACCCATGATCCACGCCGGGTGTGGTGTCCCCTGCATTCAGCTGGCTCAGTCCCCAGTGTCCTTGTGATTCTTGGAACACACTGGCGGGCTCCTGCCCCAGGGTCTCGGCACTGGCAGTCCCTCCTGCCTGGAGTGTGCGTTGCCCAGGTGAATGTGTAGCTGAGAGGCTGACCTGGCCCCATTTTTTTTTTTTTTTTTTTGGTACTGGGACTTGAACTCATGACCTCCCACTTGCCAGGCAGGCACTGTACCACTCAGCTATATCCCCAGCAGCTCAGGACTGCTTGCTCTCCTCTCTCCTCCTGCTCCTCATGTTCAAGTGGGGACAGGAACCTGGTCCCCCAGGCCTCCACGATCCTGCCCAACCCGCTCACACGTGCCCATCTCTCCTGATGCCCGCTGCCCTAGTTCAGGGGGAAGGTTGCTCTCTCGCCAGGCTGGGAAAGCACCCGCCTCTCTTCTCACCTTCACAGCCCATCCCTCAGGTGGCTCTCTACTGGTCAGCTGCGGAGAGTTGCCTGCTCCCCCTTCACACACCTTGGATGCCAGCTCCCTGGGCCCGGGCTCCACGCTCCTTCCTCCCCGACTCCCCGCATGCTCTACCCGCCCAGCCCCGCTGCTGCCCCCGTCTGTGTGCGCTTCTCTTCTCTGCCTCCCCTGCTCCCTCAGCTGCAGGGTTGCTCCTTGCTTTCTGCCCAGGCCTGGAAGAGGCTCTGCTCAAAGTAAGTCTGAAGTGGTACACGGCAGCCAGTGAATTGAAGACGATGGACTAATATGTTTAGGAAAAAAAAAATTTTTTTTTGGTACCAGGAATTGAACTCATGACTTCAGGCTTGCCAGGCAAGCGTTTATGCTGTTGAGCTACATCCCTGGCCCAGGAAAAATTTTCAAATGGGGTTTATAAAATAGATGCTTAGCTGGGTGTGGTGGTGCACGCCTATAATCCCAGCACTTGGGAGGCTGAGGCAGGAGAATCACCATGAATTTGAGGCCAGGCTGCTCTACATAGTGAGTTCAAGGCCAGCCTGAACTGCATAGTGAAAACAGCCACTCCAAATTTACTTTGGAGCCAGGTGTGGTGGTACATGCCTAACATGCCAGCAATTTGGGAGGCTGAGACAGGAAGGTCACAAGCTCAAGCCTAGCCTGAACAATTTAGCAATTTTGGGAGGCTCCGTCTCAAATTAAACAGACCTTGGGTTTGAGTCCCAGTATTGGTGAAAAAAAAACTACTTTGGTAAACCAGGAAAACCAGTTTATCAGAAATTACCTAACGTTTACTTATTAGGTGTTTAATATATATTAGGCCCTTAGCTTACAATTTTCTTATTTATTCTTCATAATGATAATGATACTCTTGACTTCACATTATTGCCTTTTTTTTTCTTCCAAGACAGGGTCTTGCCATGTAGTTTAGGCTGGTCTTTGTTTTGTTTTGCTCTGTTTCCTTTTTTTTGTTTTTTTTTTTTTCCCCAGTACCAGGGATCGAACTCACGACCTTGTGCTTGCCGGGCAGGCACTGTGCCGCTGAGGTAAATCCCCAGCCGCTTTGCTTTGTTTTTTGAGACAGGGTCTCACTTTGCAAATCAGGGTGGTCTTCACCTCACTTTGTAGCCCAGGTTGGCCTCAAACTCACAACGATTCTCCTGCCTCAGCCTCCGAGTGCTGGGATCATAGGTGTGCGCCACCTCGCCCGGCTAGGCTGGTCTTGAACTCACTATGTAGCCCAGGCTGGCTGAGAACTCTTTTGCCTTAGCCTCTGGAGGACTGGGATTATAGGCGTGCGCCACCACGCCTGGCTATTTTGGATGTGAAGAAACTTAGGTTAAATGTCTGTCCAGGGCCAGGGATATAGCTCAGCAGCACAATGCCTTTCTTGGCAAGCTCAAGGTCCTGAGTTTGATTCCCAGTACCAAAAAAATCCCCAAAAAACGCCCCCCCACACAAAATGTCTGTCCAAAGGACAAAGGACACAAAGATGGAGCTTGAACCACTGCCTGCCAGACCCTGCAGTACCTGGTTGTACCCACTATGCTGTGTGTTCTCACACCATGTACGTCTGCCTGCTGTGTCTAATGTGTCATTTGGGGTGACGTGGTGTAAATACATTTCTGTCCTGCACGCACAGTGCTGTGGCGCTGACCTCTGCTACGGGCCAGCGTTCGCTCCTTCCTAGACACAGCACCTGGACAGCACGGGATGCAGTGACAGTTTGTGACAGTTCAGCGGCTTCCACCTGACCTCAACACTCCTTCACTCATCATGCACCCACTGCCTGCCTTACGGAGACGCTGCGATGCTTACGCCTTCAGCTTCTCTCCAGAGCCAACTCTGCTCCCCCTCAGGAAAGCATTTTTGGGCCGGGGATGAAGCTCAGCAGCATAAGCGCTTGCCTGGCAAGCTTGAGGTCATGAGTTCAATTCCCAGTACCAAAAAAAGAAAAAAAAAAAAAAAAAAAAGGAAAGTATTTTGCCAAATCAGGTACCTGAACATTTCCAAACAAGACGGACACTTTCTTTAGGACACATGAACCAGTGGTTTCCAGGAATCTGCTCTCCTGAGAAATCCAGGCCCTGGGGTTGAGACTGTCCCTTAGCAGACCTCAAGAATAGGTCTGCTAAGGCCTAGAAAACACACACACACACACACACACACTGAACTCAGCAATGCCAACTTTTAGGAGTGAATAAATTAAATATCCTTCCTCGGTTACCTAAAACTTCCTGGGCACTAAGTGGTAAATATGGATGAAACAAAGGTCTGATTCAGACCCGTACCCCAAGACTATCAGAGGGTGGGGTGTTCATGTTCCCCCCAGATTCATGTGCTGAAGCCCCGGCCCTTGACAGGATGGTACCTGAAGAAGGGCCTCTGGGATAACTAGGACTCCAGGGTGACTCTCGTGACACGGTTAATGATCTTGTAAGAAGAGACACACAGCACACAGCAAGGTGGCCCCCCACAAGCCGGGAAGACGGCCTTCTCAGAAGTCCAACCGTGCTGTACCCTAGCCTTGGACTTCAGCCTCCAGAACTGTGAGAAACTAGTTTCTGTTGGTTAAGCCACCTGGACTATGGTATTTCATTACGGTAGCCTGGGCTAAGAAAGAACCTTTAAGGAAGAAATGAAGGTAAAATGCGGTCGTTAAGATGGGCTCTCACGCAACAGGACTGGTCTCCTTATGAGAGGTAAGGGTACAGACGGAAGACACCAGAGACGCACATGCAGAGAGACCCACGGGGGCATACAGCGAGGAGCTGCCATCGGCAGGCCACAGCGGGAGGCCCCAGAAGACGGCAAGTCTATTGACACCACGTTCTGAGACTTTTAGCCTCCAGAACTACGGTAAGAAGGCCTCCACTGGGTGCCTGGCTATTTATTATACAGTTAAAACTTCAAGTCAGTAATGCAAAATGAAACTGATGTACCCGTGCCCCCCTCTGAAAATGCATCTGGAAAACATAAATCACCGTGAACCCACCAAGAGAAATCACGTTACCTACTGTTTTCTCCCAATATTCCATAAATTCATGAATGAGATAAATCGCCTTCTCCTCTACCGATATCTCTGTTACATTTTAAAAATGAATTGTTTCCAAAGCCTCAGGTACTGAGGGCCTGATCCCCAAAGCAGCACTGTTCAGGGTGGGGCCCGGAGATGGGGCTGGGTCAGGAGGGCGCTGGCTCATGAACGGATTCATCTTTGGATGAGCTCAGAGCTGAATGCGCTGTTAGGAGGTGGGGCCCAGCTGGGGAACGGGATCACTGGGGGCTGCCTAGCAAGGCAAATCCTGCCCTTGCCTCTTCCTTCCTCTCTGCGTCCTGGCTGCCATGAGGTGAGCAGCTTCCCCCACTGCCAAGGCCTCCCGCCACGATGTTTCTGCCTCTCCGTAGGCCTAAAGGCAATGGAGCCAGCTGGCCATGGACTGACCCCTCTGAAACTGTACGCCAAAATCGACCTATTCTCCTCCAAGCCATGTATGTCAGCCTGTCCCAGCAACAGAAGGCAAACAGTCTCCAAGAGAAGAAAGCAATCTTACCCAATCCTTCCAGTTCTTGAACCACTTCTTTCCAAATGGGCTCGATGTGGATACAGCTGAAGCACCAGTCCGAGGTGATCTTAATGAGGTAGGGCTTCTTGAAGCTGTCTGGGACCACTTCGTTCACGTAGTGGGAGAAGTGTAGTAAGTACTTCTCGTCAATTGAGTCCCGTCGCTCCGAATTGAAAGGGAAGTGAAAGAAAGATTCATCGAAATAGAAATTTTCATGGAAATGGCGGAAGCGATACTCTCGCTGCTGCTGCTCGTAGCCCTGGTTCTCTCCAGCTTCACCATAGTGATCATAATTGGATCTCTTTTCTTCATTGGAAAGAATCTACAAGGAGGAAAAAGTGTAAGAAATCTCAGAAACTAGAGAAAAGTTTCACGCAAAGGAATTTTCTGTCAGCAACTCAAAAGACATACAAAGAAAATAAATGTAAAGGGCTGGGGATATAGCTCAGTGGCATAAGCGCCTGCCTAGCAAGCATAAGGTTGTGAGTTCAATCCCCAGTACCGCAAAACAAAAGTAAAGATTAAGATGTGATTAGGTATTTCTCTTTTTTTTTTTTTCCTGGTACCGGGAATCAAACTCAAGACCTTGTGCTTGCCAGGCAGGTGCTTGTGCCACTAAGCTATGTCCCCAGACCCTCTGTCTCTTTTTGTGGCATTGGGGATTGAACTCAGGGCCTTTGCACTGAGCTACACCACCAGCCCTTTTAAAATTTTTTATTTTGAGACAGTCACTACATTGCCCAGGCTGGGCTTGAACTTGCAATCCTCTTGCCTCAGCCTCCCAAGTGTGGAGATTATAGGCAAGTGTCAATATCCCTAGCTATGATTATACATTCTAAACACAGTGGCTCAGTATGTTGGGAAACTCTTCTTTTAACAGAAACATTAAAGAAAACTATAGATCAAAGTACTTTAGGTCTTCAGTTGGTCCCATTCATGTCGGCATTAAAGATTTGAAACTATCTCGGTAAGCACTTCAGGAAAGCAAAAAAACAACACACATTGCTGATAGGCTCAATTATAAGAAAACTGAATTAGTCGTATGATATGAGTTGGAATCATGTAGACCAAGGTTTGGAGGTATGTGCACACCAGCCACAGAATTGAGCTCAGGGTCTTGTGTGTTAGCTGACTCTGCTTTACTTGAAAATAGCTTTGAGGTATAAGGTTCAAGAATCCATTTAGGGTGATGAATTAACCTATGGTCTAAGCAATGTTTGGCGAAGAGCATCCCCTAACAAATCAGGAAGCCAGGGACTGCTGTTATGCATATTCCAGGCCAAGGGACTTGAGCTGATATGTTGGAAAATTATCAAAGGGTTGTGTTTCAGTGTTTTTGTAACTCTGTGTCTTTCTAAGAAATAAAGGCAAATTGGCATGTGATTCTTTAACGAAAGTTTCTAAAAAGGTAATACAGAATATATTTCAAGGAATCTTGTAATTCTAATTAAAGTCTTTGAGATAGTCTGGCCAGGTGTGGTGGCACACAGCTGTAATCCTAGCTACTCAGAGGGATGAGATAGGAGAATTCCAAATTTAAGGCCCATCTAGCAACTTAGTGAGGATTTGTCTCAAAATCAAAAATAAAAAGGCCTGGAGATGTAGCTCAGTGATTGAGCAGCCCTGGATTCAATCCCTAGTGGAGAGGGGTTGGGGACAGGATGGGATGGGACACATGCTTGAATGAATGTGGCCAGCTACGTTCTCTCTACTGTCATTTTTTTTTTTTTTTTTTTTTGAGACAGGGTCTCAGTATGCAGTTCAGGCTGGCCTTGAGCTCACTTTGTAGCCCAGGCAGGTCTCCAACTTGCAAAGATCCTCCTGCTTCAGCCTCCCGAGTGCTGGTATTACAGGCATGCGCCACCATGCCAAGCTCTACCGTCATTTGAAAACTGGGTCAGGGTATGGGAACATGCATTTCCTGGGAGGATGTTACAGAGCTAATCACCAGAAGCACATTTTATTAAGAACTAAAGGATGGCCCCCAAGATTTGCCCCAATACCTCGTAAGCCTTGCTGATCTGGATGAACTTGTCTGCTGCCCCAGGATCTCTGTTTTTGTCAGGATGCCTGAAAACACAGATGCGCAGCCGGTGAGAGAGGATTTTATTTTTCACACGTGGTCACTTCACATCCTCATGCACACAGTTCATGACAGTAAAGGCAAATGGGTCATTGTGTTAGGACAGCTGCCTAAAACAAACAGGTGAAGCAGCGGATGGCTTCACAAGACTACCATAAATGAAACTTTGAAACATTCTCCTCCTGGAACATTCCAGTTGGGTACATTTTCAAAGCACCAGAATGCAGTCCCACAGTGTTTCACTGTGTGTGTGTTTCCATGCTACTCCCCCACACTGCGCAAATGGGCTTGGGCTTAGTCCCTTAGCGATAAAATGAGGGTTTTTCCCAAACGCCAGCATTTCCTCCCCACCTTAGAGCGAACCTGATGCTGGTGTCTCTCTGGCTAACATGGGCCAGCATGAGAAGCAGCTTTTATGGTGCACAGTGAAACTGCTTAGTTATAGTCAGGTTTCAAGCAGTAGATTGCTTCTGACCTTCCAATCAGAGTACTTCAGTATTCAGTACTACTCTGCCTGTGGTACCTTTTAGCTCTATAATGGATAATGGTTTCAAGCCCACATTTGTTTTGTTTTTATGAGACAGGGGCTTGCTATGTAGTCCGGGCTGGCCTTGAACTTAGTATGGAGCCCAGGTTGGCCTCAAACTCATGGCAATCCTCTTGCTTCAGCCTCCCAAGTGTTGGGATTACACGCATGTGCCACCACATCTGATTTAAGGCCACATATTTAAGATTAAAATAAAAACCATAACGTTCATACAAAGTTAATTTAATTAAAAGTAGAACTAATCTTGAACTGTTATCTATAGCTGGCAATTAACTGTCTTGAGGTCACATAGTATTCTGTAATCTTTCTGTGTTTATTCTTATTTCAGTTTTCAGGATTTTAAAATCTGGCAAAGGACTCGGTTTCCTTCCTTGCAGCCCTGTAAGATGTAAGTCAGTGTTTTATACAGAAAGTTTTTTTTTTTTTTAACATTCACTTTGTTAAAAGATTCTATACGACAGGAGTCATTCTTTATGTAATCAGTTTTGCTGATGTCTACTTAAGTTCCCCTAGCACAGGTTTTGGAAAGAAAAACAACTCTCAGGGAAGCAAAGGACCATTAAAAACACAGCAAGTACATTGGAACAGGAAAAACAATTACAGTTTGACCGGCTTATTCTAGGAGGAATATGTTTGAAGGAACTATTCCACATATTCCAATTGCTCTAGAACAGAGGAAACTTCATATGGTTGACTGTTGAATTTGGATATCCTTTCCTTAACCATCTAATCCTTGCTCTGAGTATTAGTGGGGAAAAATCCTGGCTAGGCATAACGCAAACAGTATGGTTTGAGGAAACGAGATGGTGATTCCAAAGCATGTTTCTGGGTGACAAAAAGAAAAGGTGTTCTCAATATTCAGACTGAAGTCTAATGCCTGAGAGGATAAAACGATGCAGCTAACAAATGATTTAACACAAAGAACTCTGGGGGAGGAAGGCTGGGAAGGGGCTCTTCAGGACCCTGGAGTAGAAAGAACCTCACAGGCAGCTGCATAGGAAACAGGAGTTCTGCAACAGGGGCGGCCAAGGCTCCAGCACCAAGGAATGCACAAGACGGTCTAGCTTGTAAGGAACACTTTCCTAATGTGGGAAGATATCGCCAGCAGGAAGACATTTAGAACAGGTTATGTTTGGTCATAGGAAAGTGTCACCTAATGGTATTTCCAGTGGCTATGAAACTATTTCACAAGCAGCAACCTTGACATTTCAAAGTGAAGAGAACAGAGTGTATGGTTATCTACTGGCTGTTAGTGACCTCTGAAGGAATAAAAAAGCAAGACAGAAAAAGAAATATAGCAAAGGATGGGACAACTTACTGTTTGGTTCACTGAACCATGTAATATCAGTCTGCTTTTCTTGGGGTAGGAGTTATTTTGCTAATAAGGATGACACATGAAAAGTCTGTAGGATAAAACTTAACTATAGCGAGAGAAATAATTTTCCTAAGAGAAAAAAGTAATTTGAAGTCGTTTCACCAAGCATGGGAAAATTCTTGTAAAGTCTGAGAAACGCTTAGTAAAATGCTTAGTAAAATATAATCCAACCATTAACCACTTTTCCCTGCTACATCTCATTCTGAAAAGTCAAACTGGAAGACACTGCTCTTTTTCAGTGTATATGAAACCATCACAAAATGAAACTGAAACCAGCCCAAGTGATAAAGTATTTCCACAGTCAAAACAACAGGAAACAGTATAGCAGAAATATAAAGGTAAAATAAAACTTTAGACTTTCACAGATGATACTCTATGCACTTCTATAGTGATGAATTACTCCTAGAGAGGCTCTAATTAAGGAAGAGAATGACTCATTTAATTAATATCGTAACACCCTTTTCAGCTCTGGAAGACAGAAAAGTCAAAGCAGTACATTTCAACAGATCCCATATCCTCAAGCTGTCATTTTTGCTCCAAAACTATTGTGAAAAGCTATATCCTCTCCAAAAGAATGCTGTTCTTGCCAGGCGTAATGGCATGGGAATATAACCCCAGCACTCGGGAGGCTGAGGCAGGAGGATCGCTAGGAGTTCAAGGCTAGTCTGAGCTACATAGTGAGTTTAAGGCCAGCTTGACCTGCATAGTGAGACTTGGTTTCATAAAAAAGAATGTTGCCGCTTATGGATTAATTACAGATATATATGTATTTTGCTTCTAATATAAAAAGGCAAGAGTTTGAAATATTACTGAAAGCAAGTTGGGTGTAGAATCCCTTGGAAAGAGGACACACATTATCAGAGGTTGTCTTTTTACCATCCAATTTGGGATTCCTCATGGTATGAATCTAAAATATGTATTCAAAATAGTATATTTTAAGCTACTTTTTACCTTTACTGCAATTAGTTTAATCCTGAAATGTATCTGCTTACTGAAAAAGACAGGGGCCAGAAGAGCCAGGCACGGTGCCATTAGCTGCACGTGGCTGCTTCCTTCTCTCAGTCAGCTCGCTCCCCCCAAATGCTGACCCTGACCCTTACTCTTGTCCAGATGGGCACGTGGTGAAAATCCAACCAACAACAGTAAGTGTTGATGCAGAAGGTCAAATCAAGGAACTCAGAGGTGATACAGATTTACCATCTCTGAGTCTCAATTTTCCCATCTGTAAAACAGGTTCAGCCATCTCTTCCTTTATAGACTAATGACAAGGTTTCAGTGGAGTCCCATACATAGAACTCGGAGGCTGAGGCCGGGCATGGTAGTGCATGCCTATAATCCCAGCACTTAGGAGGCTGAGGCAGGAGGATCACGGCGAGTTCAAGACCAACCTGGGCTACAAAGTAAGCTCAAGGCCAGCCTGAATTGCATAGCAAGACGCTGGAGATACGCACTGGGGGTACCTATCACAAACTTTCTTTCACTGCCTACAGGTGGTTCAGCTAGTTCTCCTTTCCATCCTTCTCTCCTTCTGCTGCGCCCCCTCCAGCTATATAATCTAACGCTTCTGCTTCTTTGGTATAGTCCAAACTTTGGTGGGAGAAACAAATGCATGTGTCCAAAACAAGTTTTTGATTTATTGTTTCCCTGCTAATTGCTAGCCTGCCAACTAATAGACAAAATCATGATTTTACTACAAGATTTACTTAAATAATAATATACTTGGTTCCTGAGTATTCTTTAATTTTTTTTTTTTTTTTTTTTGTCTTTTTTGAGACAGGGTCTCACTATGTAGTTCAGGCTGGACTTGAGCTCACTTTGTAGCCCAGGCTGGTCTCAAACTCGCAACGATCCTCCTGCTTCAGCCTCCCGAAGTATTCTTTTTTAATTGAGGGGAAAAAGCTCCCTTTTTAAACTTTTTCTTTGCTGTACTGGGGATGGAACATAGGGCCTCCTTCATGCTAGACAAGGGCTCTACCACTAAGCTGGGCCACTACCCCTTTGTATTTCTGCACAGGGTCTCACTAAATTGCCCAGGCTGGTCTTGAACTTGTGATCCTACTGCTTCAGGCTGTGGAGCAGCCAGTATTATGAGTGTGTGCCACTATCCTTGCCTTAAACTGTTTTTTTTTTTGAGACATAGTTTTGCTATGTAGCCCAGGCCAGCCTTAAACTTGCAGCAATCCTCCTGTCTTAGCCACTTGAGTACTGGGATTAAACTCTTTTTTAAAGCTTAAAAATTAAAAATCAATAATTTAGAACTGGGACATAGCTCATTGGTGTAGCACTTTTCTAACCTGCATGAAGGGCCTGGGGTTTGATTCCTCACATCTCTCTCTCTCTCTCTCTCCCCGCCCCCGCCCCCGCCCCCGCCACATACACACACACAGAGAATAAGGTTGAATAATGTTCCCTTTAGCAATTAAACTCATAAAGAGTTTCCCTGTGAATAACATATCCTGGGAAGTGGAGCTTATTCATTGTTGGTTACATGGTTTTAAAAAAAATTAAATTTCCTTCTTATTTCAGTTGAACACTAAATATGCTAACAATGTCTAGGGCAATTCTTTCTTTTCTTTTCTTTTTTGGTACCAGGAATCAAACTCAGGACCTTGTGCTTGTCAGGCAGGCACTGTGCCGCTGAGTCATCTTTCTGGCCCCTATGGCAATTCTTGAAGCCACAATATTCCTAAAAGGAAGTTTCATAGTAAACATAGGTTTTGGCTTTTATCCCCAAGAATTACAGAACACGAACACAAGTTCTATATATATTATATATATATATATAAATAATATATATATATAAATAGGAACACAGAAACAGAGAGAAAAGACAATTAAAAGCTGCTCATAATTTAGGCTTCATACTCCTGCTTACACTGCTTAGCTTGTATTAAATTTCCATTTCTTTGTTTCACCTACCATTCCCGGGCGAGCTTCTTATAAGCCTTTTTAATATCAGCCTGACTGGCTGTTCGGCTGACCCCTAGGACTCTGTATGGGTCAAAATCCAACGCAGACAGAATTTGCAGGATCAGAACCAGAACTATCAAGAATTGCCAGGAAATGCTCAACTTTTTCACTTCCATTTCTCTTCCTTTCCAGAGCTGAAATGATTGAAGAGGCAATAAGTTTCAGTGGCAGAAACCTGGACAGTCTTGTCTCGTAGATGAAGGTACAAGAAACAAACAAAAGATATTTTGCAGGAAATGTGTCAAGCTGTGTGACCATCTTTTAAAGTCAATAATCTTGCTACCACTGTTGAATAACAAAATTAAAAACTACTCTAGATGAAAAGATGAGTAATAAGAATTAATAGCAACTATCCAGGATCCTTGGATTGGAACAGCTTTTAAAATGACTCAAAATGAATGAGATGAAGAAATAATAAGTGGGTATGTGAAAACATAAATAGAATAATCAGTGACTAGCTCAAATACAGTACATGATTTTAGCTATCTTCACAATAAGTTAAATGGTCTAAGAACACTACAGTGCATACATGTTAAATAAGTTCATGAAATCACAAGACTTATCATGTGCTAACTACAAAAATGGGACCGCTGTGGGGTTTTTGGGTATTAAATAAGTTCAAATATGAATTCTTTTTTTTTGCCTTTTTGAGACAGGGTCTTGCTATGCAGTTCAGGCTGACCTTGAGCTCACTTTGTAGCTCAAGCTGGTCTTGAACTCACAATGATCCTCCTGCCTCAGCTTCCCGAGTGCTGGGATTACAGGCGTGGGCTACGACACTTGGCTTATGAACTCTTTTAAAAACAGCTAAGATATAATATGCCTCAATTATATTTTCTCATCACATCCACTCAATCAGGATGAGAAGCCACTCTTTAACCCAATCACTGGCAATATGATCATTATAAATTAAAATTTTGGATGAGAAAAAGTAGTGAGAAAAAATTTAGTTTTTCATATAAAGGAGAACTCATGGTTCAGACTGAAAATTGGCATAAACTTAAAAAATGTTTTGAACTCTACCTGGTTTTTGCAAATAATTCTGGCTGATTAATGAACAAGGTAGTGGGTAGTATTGGTACTGTACATACTTACACACCTTTGTAATATCATACAGTGTTTTTTAATACCATACTTTTCCATAAACTTGTTATCTTGATTTTTACAAATTAATGAAATGTTAAGTGTGTAATGCGACACCTTAAGAGGGTCAAAGCTACAACAGCGTTGAATTTAGACTAATGCTGCTTGGTGTCCTCACAAAATCAACTCACGTGGTGACCCATATTAAAACTGCACGTGTGCAGAAAAAAATCCTAAAGCAAATCAGTTTTTTTTTCCTTAAGACAACCTGTCCTGTTGTCCAAAAAATCCAAAAAGAGGCTATGTAATTACTGGTCAAACACATGGGCTGTAGAATCAGGCTAGGACTGGAATCCATTCTCCATAACTCTACGACCTCGGGTAAGTTAAAAATACTAAGTCTCAGTGTCCTTGTTCATAAAAGCGTGAATGAGTACTACAGCCGCCTTGGAGGGTCGTCATGGGGGATTAAATACATGTAACAGATTTACTAACAGGGAATCCACCGTCACAGCGGTCGTATTACTTCTCTCGTGCAGTGCGTTCACTGTGTCAGTCCCTTCTAGTTAGCGGTGATGGTGGTGGTTGTGAAGTTCTTTTGCTGACAGTTTCCAGCTCCACGGTGCCAGCCTCAGAGCGGGTGACAACCTGCCCAACAGGTAGGCTGCCGCCTTCGGGACAGCACCCCCTGCCCAGGTAGAGGCTCTCGGGGACACGCTCCGGATCTGAGTCCCGCCGCGGATCGCCACCTTCTAGGAGGCGACACCCTCCCCCGCCGCCCCTGAAAGCCCTGGCCCGGGCCCTGTCGGCTCCCGGTTCCCCTCCCCGGGCCCAGCGGGGACTGGGAACGAAAAGAAACTAACGGGAGATCTCTGAGCTTGCCCGGCCCCGCCGCATGGGCGGCTCCGCGCGTCACGCCGGGAAAGAATTACCGGGAAAGGGCACTGGCCCAACCGGCTGCAGCGTCCGGTGCTCCAGTTAGTCCGCCCGGCCCGGAGCTTCCCGTTCACACCAGCGTTAGCCGGGACCAAGGAGGGGAAAGAGGCGGGGACCAAGCCCAGGAAAGTCATGTGACATTTAAAGGGCCTGACAAAGAAGGTGCAACTGAACAGGTCTCGGGCTTCTAGTTTGCGAATCTGTCTTGACCCTTGCCACTCGCCGTCAGCGCGTGGACCTGGCGCGGTTGCTATAGAAACAAGGCGCGCTCTTTGGCTGGATCCAAAGAGTTGATCGTAACCAAAGAGGCCAAAACGTGCCTCCTAGCGAGGCAATGTCGCTATGCATCACGGGATGCCAGGAAGACATCCTGATCTAGGGAGGGGTTTCCACGGCTTACCAGGAGGTGGCCCTCTTGTAGCAACAGTTACTAGGGTGGGGAAGCAATCACTAGTCCCCATCCTCTTTAACCCTATTCATAGAATCCTAGAGCGTCAGAGTTGGAAGGGACCTGAGGGATCTTTTCTAGCCTACCTGCTCCATATGCTGGGGTCCATAGAGGAGCAGGGACTTGCCCAAGATCTAAATCTAGGATAACTAGTTTTGTTTATCAGTAAGAAGTCTCATTCCAGAATGTGCCGGGCCTGGATTTAAGCACTGGAAAGGGAAGTGGGGGAAGGGGGAGGGGAGGAGGCACAGGTGGATGAGGTAAACTGTCTTTGAGCCAATGAGATAGATCCCTTGGGGATATAAGGAAGGCAATTTCATTTCTCCCTGCTGTTTTTCTTTTTTTCTTTTTTGCATTTGTGGCTGACATACTCTTTATTTATATTGTTTATTGCTTGTCTCTTCCCACTGGAATGTGAGCCTCTGTGGGCAGGGGTTTTAAATTCTGTTGTTCATCTCTGTATTGCCCATGTCTGCATTGTTCTTTACAAGTACAGGTTTCCAGTAAATGTGAAATAAATGAAAGAACAGAGATGAGGTGTCTCCCCGCCCTGCTGCTGGGATTGAATTGAGGGCAAATGCTTTAGTATGGAGCTTTGTCCCAACCCTGAAGCTAAGGTTTTGCTGCTCAAGCCATTATGTTTGTTAACCCAAATCCAGAGGAAGTCATTATTTTGAATTGAGCTCCTATACTAGGGATACAGGAAAAACAAAACAAAACAAACAAAAAAATTCCCAACCTGTTAGATGTCAGATGTGCTGAGTTCATGTCCCCTGGAATGTTGAGGAATGAATTCCAACGGACAAAGGTTAAGAGTAGGAAAGGTTTATTAAGATAAAGCTCCTGAGCCAGGTGTGTGGCACTTGCCTGTAATCCCAGCACTCAGGAGGCTGAGGCAGCAGGATTGCAGCAAGTTCAAGGCCATCCTAAGCTACAAAGTGAGTTCAAGGCCAGTCTGAACTGCAGAGTGAAACCCTGCCTCAAAAAGACAACAACAACAAAAAGCTCCTGAGAGACAGGAGGGGTGCAGAAAGCGGTTGTCATGAAGCCCATTGTCAGGAGTAATTTACACAGCAAAATCACAACATGGGTCAGACTCCAACCAACTTATAGTGTTACAGTCACTTAGCTAATATTGATCCAATAGGGAAATGAGTCACATAGCAAGGGCAAAGGGAAAAAACAAAGGCATTTTTGGGAAGGGAGAGGAGTATGGATCCAGATATTCTGGTTACCCATCTATGAGTCTGAAGCCTGTCTGGGTTCCTGGGTGGTGCTAATGATAGTATAATTTTTCTTTTCTTTTCTTTTTTTTTTTTTTGGAGACAGGGTCTCGCTATGCAGTTCAGGCCGGCCTTGAGCTTACTTTGTAGCCCAGGCTGGTCTGGAACTCGAAGTGATCCTCCTGCCTCAGCCCCTGGAGTGCTGGGATTACAGGCATGCACCACCACGCTCAGCTCAATAGTATAATCTTAAATTTCTGTTTATCTCTAGGTAGGCATGCAGAAGTTGCTATTGTTTCTCCTTCCTGTTTTCTTTCTTTCTTTCCTTCTTTTTTGTCTTTTTGAGACAGGGTTGCTTCTCCTTTCTGAGGCCTGCTTCTGTTCAGAGTTGCCTCCAGCCACGATTCTGATGTCTTTATTTTTTTTATTTTTATTTTTATTTTTTTTTGGTTTTTCTCTGGTACCAGGAACCGAACTCACGACCTTGCGCTTGCCAGGCAGGCGCATTTGCCGCTGAGCTAAATCCCCAGCCCCTGATGTCTTTATTTTTTGTGCTACTTTCCTTGAGGATTCAATTCTTCTCTGACTGTATATGAATTTCTATACTAGGATGCAACAAACCAAAATGGAGTCACTCGTGCTCAGATTTCTGCCACCAAGCTGAAACCAGGCTGTTTATCTGAACTTCTGAGAAATGGGGGGGGGGGG